CTGGGTTCAGGCAATTCTCCTGCCTCAGCCTCCTGAGTAGCTGGGATTACAGGCACGTGCCACCATGCCCAGCTAATTTTTTGTATTTTTAGTAGAGACGGGGTTTCACCATGTTGACCAGCATGGTCTCGATCTCTTGACCTTATGACTGGAGACATACTTACACCAAAGAAGTGGATTATCTGAAATTCAGATTTGACAGAGTGTCCTGTGTCTGATCTGGCACCCCTTCTCAGGCCCCAGTCAGACGAAACCTGGCTTTCACCCTTGGACACTTTCCCCAAGAAGGACAGAGGAGGGGGTGCAGGTGAACCAACCCCACATTGCCAGCACCTCTCAGGGAAGCCCCAGAGGCAGAGGGCCAGCTACCTGGCTGCCACTGCTGCCAAGCCCGGCATGTAGTCCCTACGTCCCCCTGGCAGGCTGGAGCCTTCCACAGACCTCTCAGCAGACTGAGGTTGGGAGGCTGCAGACGCCACTATGGATGGTCAGGCAGCCCCTGCAAGCATAGCTGAACAGGGAGACTGAGGACATGGGGGCCTTGGGTTGCTGTGGGGGATCTGAAGGCAAGAGATCACTCCACAGCCAGTCTGAGCTGCCACGGGCAGCAGGGCAAGGCTAGAGGGATGAGTAGTGGCACTGCTGCCTCCTCCCCGGAGTCTCCCAGGTAGCACCAGGGTTCACCCCTGGAGCTTTGTCTGTGGGCGAAGGTGGACCTGAGACCTTCCTGGTGTGGTGTGGGCTCAGGCCCAGTCTCTCAGGCTCAGCAACTGGGCTACTGCCTCATTTCTGAGAAGCCTGAGCCCCGATGGACTCGCCACCTCTGCCCATTGCCCGCCCACATGGTCTGTGCCTCCCCACCGGGGCCTCAGTCCTCGAGGGACCTGATGGGCCCTTCACTGCCATTTGGCACCCAGGTGGGGCCTCCCAGTGCTGACTGCCTGCCTGGGCTGCCTGTATCTCCTGCCACGGCTGCTTGGATGCTTCTCTCTCCCTACACCCTGCCCCTGCCCCCTCCCAGGACCTCAAAATTCAGGACTTGGTCCTCTTGAGGTGGCCCCAGCATTATCACCTGAGCTCAAAATCCTTCCAGAAGGAAGAAGGAAGTGGCGGCTGCAACTCGGGGCCCCACCCTGCTCCACTATGTGGACCCCTAGAGTCCAAGGGGTGGACAAGCCCAGCCCTGGGGAGCCCAGCACCCTGGGACAGAAGGGGGATTACAACCTGCAGCCTGTGATGGCCAAGAGTGAGCCCCAGGCTGAGGAGCACCTCCAGGGAGGGGCCCAGAAAGGACACCAGGGCCCCTGGAGCCTGGCCACAGGGGAGAACCTTGCAGCCAACACCCAGGCTGGCCCAGGGCAGTGATGCCTCTTCCAAGAAGGCCTCTGTAGTTGCCCTCTCTCTTGAGCCTTATCTCACCCGAGGCTGTGGCCATGAGAGGCCCTGGGGCTGCCCACTGACCTGGGGGTGGTGCTTGTACCCTCCCTGCCCCTCATAATCTTTGGGGCAAGTCCTGTGTTGTCACCTTCATCTACAGGTGGGGAACTGAAGCCCAGAGAAGTAGCCTCCCTTGGTGGGGGCGGGTCCCAGTACCAGGAAAAGTGCCCAGGTCACATCTGTTTTTTTCTTTTTTTTTGAGACAGAGTCTCGCTCTGTCACCCAGGCCGGAGTGCAGTGGTGCGATCTCAGCTCACTGCAACCTCCGCCTCCCAGGTTCAAGTGATTCTCCTGCCTCAGCCTCCAAGTAGCTGGGATTACAGGTGTCTGCTACCACACCAGGCTATTTTTTTTTTTTT